TGCTGAAAGCCCTAAAAAGAAAAGGCAACGACGTATTTGGACAAAGACATGGCGGAGCAGACGTGGATACTACGATCTGTCAATCTTAAAGAATAAAGTCCAGTTCACTCACATCCCCACCATGGTTCTACGTTTTCATCTGAGAGAAAGAAGAAGAATCCTTGTTTGCGCACTAAGCGATTTGTTTACGACCACCTTACAATGGCCGAATGAATTTCTAACATGTTTGATTTTCTCCCAACCTTATTTATAATACCTGATCAGGAGATGGTCATTAGAGGCTGATCGCCCCTCGTTACGCCCTTTACACTAAACGGTGCACAAACAGGCTGAAACTCGACCCGATCGACCGGCTTTATTAAGAAAACACTTCTGGGTAATTTTTCTCAATAGAAGACAGCTGGAAAATAAAAGTGCTTGAACAGCAATGTATCATTTTCTGGTGTAGATGACATACTCCAAACATGATCCATGTGGAAGGGTCAATGTAAAGAATATTTTGATGTAAGATGTCTTTTGTGACGCTAATGCCTGTCCGGTGCTCACTCTGCAGGATTATTCTCCAGAGATGTACATTGAGCTGATCAAAATCTCCTTTCACTCTGATGTTTTTGAAAACAACATTGGCTACCTGCGATTTGACATGTTTGGAGACTTTGAAGAAGTAAAGCCCATCGCCCAGATAATTGTGGAGCATGTCTGGAACAAAGTCCTAAACACAGACGCTATGATCATTGATCTCAGGTGGGGTTTTTGTTTTTTTGTTATTATTTTTATTCTAAATTAAAATATTACCCTACTCAGACAAGTAAAAATCAGTCATTCATAAAAAAATAAGTGTTCTGTTTTTTTTCTGTTTACTTTGTGTTTTTTGGACACTCAGGAACAATGTTGGTGGACCAACAACAGCCATTGCAGGCTTTTGCTCTTACTTTTTTGATGGGGATAAGCAGATCCTTTTGGACAAACTGTATGACAGACCATCTGGAACCACCACCGAGCTGCTGACTCTCTCTGAACTCACTGGTAATTCCTCAGACTTACTTTTAGCATAATATCTAAATAACATTGAATAACGGGCTGGTTATCCTCCCACACCAGTGTGTAGCAGTGAGCTTGTTGCAGGCATAACAAAGATCTTTTTTATTTATGCCCAATTTTGAAGCGTGGTCTGTGCTATGTTATTTCACACCACAACACAAGAGGGACAATCTCTGATCTAGCTGTGGGTCTAGATACGGCCGAGGTGGTGAGGAAATGGAAAAACACAAGGAGCAACAACGGAGGGACATGAGGGCAAAAAAGAGCAGGGATCTAGATGGAAAAAGGGTCCCAGCGTTCTCCCGTACCACGCTCTTCTAGCTTGTTCATCTTCATGACTTATTTTCCACAATGGTGGTCATGCCTTACCGGCTTGTTTTGTTTGTACCAAACAGGAAATATGCATAGTGTAGAGCAGATGTAGATTTGACCAATCAGATGCTTCCTGTCTGCGGTCACCTACAATATTGGAGAGGTGCACGAGAGTGTCTGCGTGGGGGGAGTCATATCTGCGTTAAAGTCGTAGGAAAACAGCTTTTCCAACCGTTGCATTTCCAAATTCTCCTTAGCGGTGCCCGACTTTACACGAGTGAATAAAGTGAATATGACTGGTCGTTTATCAAGGGGGCGGGATTGTTGTGGCGGAAGATTTGCAAGCATGTTTGATTGTGGCCGGTTTGTCTGAAGCATCTTGCTAACCAGTTAGCAACTTAGTGCTAGGAGGTTCCCAATGGGAAATTCCATTGGGAACTTACTAGCACGAAATTGGTGACTTAGCAACAACACTGCGGCAGAAGCTTGGTTTTGTGTAGAAGGCTTCCAGCCGTACATGTTTGAGCCCTTGCCTCGC